ATTTAGGTAAACATTCTTCTGCACTTGCCGTCCAATCTTTTAATGTCATTCAACTTCCATTTAATACTGTTAAAGCTGTATGTTACTACGGGTATAGCTAAGGTGTTGATAGCCTTCATGTTATTGGCCCCATTAAATTCGTTTTCTAGTATCAAAGTACTCTCCTATAATATTCTTTTCGGATCTTTTTCTTCATAATTGAATGTTGTATTCTGTCTCATTCATTAATTCCTAAGTATTTGGTCTAGTTCCTTAATTTTGATGTTGATATCAAGGTCTAAATCTGTAGTTTTCGTAAGTTTACCGCCTTTGAAGGTGGCTTTGGCACATTTATCGATACAGAACTTCTATACACGCTGCAACAGAAATACATCCCACATTTTGAAGGTTGAAAAAGAAGTCCAAGGTAACTTCTATTAAAAAATTATTTCACTATTTATCCACCATAGAGAATCCTCCCTGCCACCTATCAGAATGGCTGTACCCAAATCTACGAGAGCGTCTCTCTGCGCCATCTTGGTCTCACGTTTTCTACTGGCCTGAGGTGGAGCAACTACAACTGAATCAATAGCTTCATCTACCGCAAGGAAAGTTGTTTCTCTGGGTCGCGCCACGAGGTCTTACCTGCCTGAGCCCATCCTACAAATCTAAAAATCTACCCTGCGTCCTTGCATCCAATACTGTTGTCATCATATATGGTCTGGTGCCCCCACTGTTCATCTCGAGGTCCTCGACAAATCCAGAGATGGATATGCAATGTGATAGGTCCTGAACTGGCATCTCGGATACAGTCACTTCTTCACAGACATGCTGTGGCTTCCCTCTGTTTTCCCTCTATATTTTCATGGCAACTGCTCTGAGCTGCTACTTTCATTGGTACCCCAACTGCATGAATTTAAGCTTGCTACTAGGTTGTCATCTCGGTGCCAACCATCTATTGTCGAAACAGTTAAAATGCGACAGCCTCTTCTACTCCAACAGCTTCTTTCGCGTTTCCCAACATTTGAACTCCCTTCATCTTACTTCCTTCCCTGATAGCTATAATCTCGAACTATTCTAGTGTAATGTCAATCGACATCTTCTCATGCCTTGATTCCGACCCCCTTACTTCTATTTATCTTTTCCTCAATCACGTCTCTTTACTCTTGCTCTCACTCTCTGTAACTCCTTACGTGAAGGCGGCACTCCCGCCTTGCTTGGGATGAAATGCTTTAAAAAATAAGAACATTTGATTTCAAAAAAGACTTCCTCTAAATAGTATCTACCGTTCGCCATAAACTCTTGGAGACAATTTCTTAAGTTTTTTATCGTCCAAAGATTCATTTCTGGTAATATTTCTGTCATTTTTGGAGAATAGCATACTTTAATTATTCAATGTTTTCTGTCGTCATCTTTCAAGTAACCCTAGAGAAAATAATCGCGGTGGGGCAAGTACAGACCATCCAATGTCACCGCGTAAGGAAATCAATTCTCCAGAAAAACATCTCTCTCAAAGCTTCCATTGTGTCTCGTCACACCATCCTATTAAAACCACATATCCAGATTCACAAGGTCTCTGAAATTTACTTCCAGAAAGTTCCGCAGAATCTCCACATGCCAGTCAGATGTTACTGTATCCGAATGGTCTCTCACCTCAAAACATAAGAGCCCCATACACCAAATTTCGCACCACACTCCAACACTTGTGAGAATAGCATTAAATGAACGTTTTCTGGCTATCGTCACAGTATCTCATGTAATTTCCACAGTCGTGTTCTTCCAGTTCTTGAACAATCATTAACTTATACGGATTAAACATCAAATAAGTACGTAAAATTATTCTGTGGGCTCTATCAGGGAATCCCAAATGAGAATCATTTTTACGGGCTGAACGTGTAAGATATTGCAGAACAGAGTCTCTCAGGATATTTTCTGGAAATATTAACCTACTCTAATATATATATATATGTTTTGGGTTTGACTGTACTGCACATTTTTCAAATCCATTATTTCATCCTTAGATGGGTGGGAGTGCAAAATTCCGTCCACAACTCCGTGTGCGTATATATATATATATATATATATATATATATATATAGTCATTTTTATGTTTATACATTCTTTTTTATCGATACAAATATTTAAGTAAATGCTCTATTTATAATAAACAGTATTAACAACATTTAACGGCCTGAACGCCCGAGAAATTTCCATAGAACATATGCGTTGTCCGACAGGAATCGAACCTGTATCCTATACGGAAACGTCATATAGCCTGGCGTGCTTTACCGATTTAGCTACAGAGGAGCGTTTCGGTTAGCTTGGTCGTATTTACTGTTTTTAAGCTACAGTTCTCCATGATTTTCTCTCGTACATTCATATCTGCTCGATGCGTATCCAAATGTAAACAAATAAAATCACACATTATGAAATGGACAAAGTCCGACATTTACTTTTAAGACAGTTTATTGACGGTTCCGTGTTGGTAAAGACATTAATTTATTTCAAGTTTGTAGCTACAATGCTGGAGGATAGGATAATGAATTTTGTGTTGTTGATATTAGAAGTGCTATAGACGTTGTCTACTTTATCATAACTATCCCCCATAAACAAACTAGAATCATGAGAGACTTACAGACATAAATTATACACACGAATGCTGCTTGACGAGTCAAATTCACGTGAAATCCGCTTAACCAATCAAAGTAAAAAAATCCTATCATACATATATATATATATATATATATATAAATTTTTCGCTTTTTCACAGATCTCCTGTTTTTTAAGCGTCTCCACTCGTTCTCCTCACATTATCTTCTTTTCTTTCCTTTCTTCTACAAAAACCATTCCTCTCTTGATCGATTTCATCCCAGTCGTATACTTGTCAACCATAACCGCATCTCCCAATCCTGCGAGACCGTGGGTATCTGACAAGCAAAGACGTTAATGTGGAGTCAATGTTAATGATAGTAGGTACTTATTATATATATATATATATATATATATATATATATATATATAATTTGATAATAAATTTGAGATAAATTGTCTTCAAAATTATATATATATATATATATATATATATATATATATATATATATTAGAAGAACAGCTCTAAATTCGAAATCTGCGGAGGGTCGTTTAAGGACCTTATCGCAAGTAGTGCATTAGATCTCTGTAATCGGCCCTTCAAAAGGTGTGGATGGTTCTGCACAAAACCTTCACAACTATAATCAAATCTCATGTGCTGGTGTCGAGCTGTCGGTTCCTAGGCACTGATCTGCTTGACCCTCATCCGTCGATGGAGTGTCGTGTATATATATATATATATATATATATATATATATATATATATATATATATATATACCTACTATCATTAATATCATTATATATATATATATATATATATATATATATATATATATATATATATATATATAACAATTGTAATTAACACATTCATAATTAAGATAATTAATAATTAACCCGTTAATACAAGATACCACCAAATGAAATAAGAAAAATGCAATAATGGCCAAGTGAAAAAATATGTAAATATTTACCTCATCATTTTAGTATTAAAAAATATATATATTTATGTAAAAAATGAAATACAATTTTCCAGACTGAAGAAAAACGTAGAACGTTCAAGAATTAATAAAAACATTGATTGTCTGAAAAACCGGCTCTCAAAATTGCTACAAGTGAAAGAATGATAAAGAAAGGAAATCTATAACACCAATTAGGAGTTAGTATAAAGTAATAAGATAAACGGCGTAAAGGAAAAATAACCACAACACGTACGCACAGATACGCAGGCGGGAGCATGTGCCCACGCACTCAAGCGCGCGTGCAGACACTCGTATGAAGAGAAAAAAAAATCAACCTTGCATCATGGAAATGCACATGTATGTTAAAAAGAGAAATATAAACAGTCAATTTCGGATACCCCTGACGAGTGGACGGAATGATTGCTGGAGGGTTTTTCTCTTGCTTTTTATATCTTTCTTACAGTTAAATGTACTTCTCATAATGTGATTTTCTTTATTATTTTATCATGTTTTTGTTATTTTTCTATGTTACTTCTCTTTCTCTCTCTCCCTCTCTCTTTCTCTCTTTCTCTTTCTCTCTCTCTCTCTCTCTCTCTTGGTTACTTTCGTCTTTTTTCCCTTCTTTCTAACGCTTTCGATCTCTTATTCGTTTAATAGCTATTCTCTTTTCGATATTTCTTTCTACAATTGTTTTCCTATTTTTCGCTTTTTCCTTTCGTTTTTTTTTAAGTGTTTCCACTCTTTTTCCTCACATTATCTTCTTTTCCCTCTTTTCTTCTACAAAAAAACCATCCCTCTCTTGATCGATTTCGTCCCAGTCGTATACTTGCCAACCATCACCGTATCTCCCAATCCCGCGAGACTGTGCGCATCTGACAAGCGAAGACGTTAATGTGGAGTAATTACCAGCTGTGTTTCTGCAGTGAACAATTTGGAGGGGGAGGCCTTTTCGGCACAACACGTGACACTGGTTTAATGGCCAATTAGAACTCCCGAAGAATTGAGAACCTTCAAGGTAAAAAGGAGAGAGAGATAGAAAAAAAATGTAAGAAACGAATAAAGTCCGGGTAAATTTCTCTGCCAAAGATTTGAGGGCAAGAAGCAATTGGCCTGGTTGGTTCATGTTGGTGGTTGTCGTGGTAATGATAATGGTGATGGTACCATTCCTAAAAGACTGAATAAGAATAGCAAAAATAAATGAACAGAAGATGAGAAGGAGACCAAATGAAACTGTTTATAATAAATTTGAGATAAATTCACTTAAAAATTATATATATATATATATATATATATATATATACTTAGTGTTGGCGGGTAGGGAGATAATTTTTGTTGAAAAATTTTTGTTTTCCTCTATTGTAAAGATGAGCAATTCTGTTAGTAAAAAGATTGTAGGAAAATGTAGAAAGAATAGAATGGAAAATAATTCGATAAACACGGGGGAAAGAAAAAAAAATGAGATTTGTAATCAATATCTTGTAAAAAGAAAGAAAGAAAAAAGAAAGAACGAAAAAGAAAGAAAGAAAGAACCTCGTATGCAAACAATCATTGAAAAGTTTTTAAAAAAGGATGAAACCGGGCTAGAAAGAAAAAAAAAATAAGCAGAAAACGAAGAAATTAAGCAAGCAAGAAAGAAAGAAAAAAGAAGGAAAAAAAAAGAAAGAGAGAATGAAAGAATCCAATAAAGAAAAAAAAGGAAGCCTAAAAGAAAGAAAGATACTTAGAAAGATAGCAAGAAAGAAAGAAACAAATAAATAAAGCAAGAAAGAGGAAAAAAAGAAAAGATCCCAAGCAAGAAAGAAAAAACGGAAGGAAAATAAAAAAGAAAGAAACAACAATAAACAAATAAAACAAGAAAGAAAAAAAAAAGAAACAAACAAACAAAGAAGCAAGAAACAAATAAAGCAATAAAGACTAATTAAATAAAAGAGAACAAACAAGAAAAAAGAAAGAAAGAAAGAAAGAAAAGAAAAACGACTAACAGATAAATCAAGAAAGAAAAAAGGAAAGAAAGCAAGCTAGCAAGCAAGAAAAAAGAAAGAAAGAAAGAAAGAAAGAAGCGACAAAGAAAAAATGAAAGAAACCAAGCAAGCAACCAAGCAAGAAAGAAAGAAAGAAAGAAACAAAAAAAGAAAGAAGTGACAAGCAAACAAATAAACAAGAAAGAAAAAAGAAAGAAACAAGAGCAATTAAGAAAGAAAGAAGGGATAAATATACAAAGAGCAGACAAACCGATACAGCTAGAAAGAACAAAGAAAGGATTCAAGCAAGAAAGAAAGAAAGAAGCGATAAACAAATAAAGGAAGAAAGAACAAGAAAAAAAGTAGTTAATAAAGAAAGAAAGTAAGAAGGAAAAAAACGAGTAAAGAAAGAGGGATCCATATAAGAAAACAAGCAAGCAAGAAAGAAAGAAAGAAAGAAAGAAAGAAAGAACGAAAAGGAGTATCAACATCAAAGAAACAAGTTAATATATTCGTGAAAAAATACATTAAAAAACAATAAACAAAGAATGAAACAAAGAAAGGAAAAACAAATAAGAGAAAAAGAAAGACGGCAAGGAAGGTTAACGCCAAATAAAGAAAGAAAGAATGCATGATCAATGTAAGCAAGCAAGTAAGCAAAAAAACAGAAATAAATAAAGGACGATCCATGTAAGCAAGCAAGTAAGCAAAAAAACAGAAATAAATAAAATCCATGTAAGCAAGCAAGTAAGCAAAAAAACAGAAATAAATAAAGGACGATCCATGTAAGCAAGCAAGTAAGCAAAAAAACAGAAATAAATAAAGGACGATCCATGTAAGCAAGCAAGTAAGCAAAAAAACAGAAATAAATAAAGGACGATCCATGTAAGCAAGCAAGTAAGCAGAAATAAATAAAGGACGATCCATGTAAGCAAGCAAGTAAGCAAAAAACAGAAATAAATAAAGAACGATCCATTTAGCGTAAAAAACAGAAATAAATAAAAGGACGATCCATGTAAGCAAGCAAGTAAGCAAAAAACAGAAATAAAAAAAAGGACGATCCATGTAAGCAAGCAAGTAAGCAAAAAAAACAGAAATAAATAAAGGACGATCCAAAAGCAAGCAAGTAAGCAAAAAACAGAAATAAATAAAGGACGATCCATCCAAGTAAGCAAAAAACAGAAATAAATAAAGGACGATCCATGTAAGCAAAAGCAAAAGCAAAAAACAGAAATAAATAAAGAACGATCCATCCAATAAGCAAAAACAGAAATAAATAAAGAACGATCCATTTAAGCAAGCAAGTAAGTAAAAAAAACAGAAATAAATAAAGAACGATCCATGTAAAGCAAGCAAGCAAGCAAAAAACAGAAATAAATAAAGAACGATCCATGTAAAAAGCAAAAACAGAAAAAATAAAGAACGATCCATGTAAGCAAGAAAGTGAGCAAAAACAGAAATAAATAAAGAACGATCCATGTAAGCAAACAAGTAAAAAAAAACAGAAATAAATAAAGAACGATCCATGTAAAAAGCAAACAAGTAAGCAAAAAACAGAAATAAATAAAGAACGATCCATGTAAGCAAACAAGTAAGCAAAAAACAGAAATAAATAAAGAACGATCCAAGCAAGCAAGTAATCAAAAAACAGAAATAAATAAAGAACGATCCATGTAAGCAAGCAAGTAAGCAAAAAACAGAAATAAATAAAGAACGATCCATGTAAAAAAAGCAAAAACAGAAATAAATAAAGAACGATCCATAAGCAAGCAAGTAAGCAAAAAACAGAAATAAATAAAGAACGATCCAAAGCAAGCAAGTAAAAAAAACAGAAATAAATAAAAGGACGATCCATGTAAGCAAGCAAGTAAGCAAAAAACAGAAATAAATAAGGACGATCCATGTAAGCAAGCAAATAAGCAAAAAAAAAACAGAAATAAATAAAGGACGATCCATATGAAAAAGCAAACAAGTAAGCAAAAAACAGAAATAAATAAAGGACGATCCATGTAAGCAAGCAAGTAAGCAAAAAACAGAAATAAATAAAGGACGATCCAAGCAAGCAAGCAAGCATGCAAAAAACAGAAATAAATAAAGAACGATCCATGTAAGCAAGCAAGTAAGCAAAAAACAGAAATAAATAAAGAACAATCCATTTAAGTAAGCAAGTAAGCAAAACACAGAAATAAATAAAGAACGATCCATGTAAGCAAGCAAGCAAGCAAAAAACAGAAATAAATAAAGAACGATCCATGTAAGCAAGCAAGTAAGCAAAAAACAGAAATAAATAAAGAACGATCCATGTAAGCAAGCAAGTAAGCAAAAAACAGAAATAAATAAAGAACGATCCATGTAAGCAAGCAAGTAAGCAAAAAACAGAAATAAATAAAGAACGATCCATGTAAAGCAATTAAAAAGCAAAAACAGAAATAAATAAAAAGGACGATCCATGTAAGCAAGCAAGTAAGCAAAAAACAGAAATAAATAAAACGATCCAGGCAAGCGAAATAAATAAAGGACGATCCATGTAAGTAAGCAAGTAAGCAAAAACAGAAATAAATAAGGACGATCCATGTAAGCAAGCAAGTAAGCAAAAAACAGAAATAAATAAAGCATGATCCATGTAAGCTAGCACCTTTTAAGCAAAAACAGAAATAAACAAAGAACGATCCATTTAAGCAAGCAAGTAAAAAAAACAGAAATAAATAAAGAACGATCCATGTAAACAAGCAAGCAAGCAAAAAACAGAAATAAATAAAGAACGATCCATGTAAGTAAGCAAAAAACAGAAAAAATAAAGAACGATCCATGTAAGCAAGAAAGTGAGCAAAAAACAGAAATAAATAAAGAACGATGCATGTAAGCAAACAAGTAAGCAAAAAACAGAAATAAATAAAGAACGATCCATGTAAGCAAACAAGTAAGCAAAAAACAGAAATAAAAAAAAACAAAAGAACGATCCAAGCAAATAATCAAAAAACAGAAATAAATATAAAGAACGATCCATGTAAGCAAGCAAGTAAGCAAAAACAGAAATAAATAAAGAACGATCCATGTAAGCAAGCAAGTAAGCAAAAACAGAAATAAATAAAGAACGATCCATGTAAGCAAGGCCAAAAAAACAGAAATAAATAAGAACGATCCATGTAAGCAAGCAAGTAACAAAAACAGAAATAAATAAAGGACGATCCATGTAAGCAAGCAAGTAAGCAAAAAAAAAGAAATAAAAAAAAAGGAACGATAAAAAGCAAGTAAGCAAAAAACAGAAATAAATAAAGGACGATCCATGTAAGCAAAAACTGTCGTAAGCAAAAAACAGAAATAAAAATAAAGGACGATCCATGTAAGCAACAGTAATATGAAAAAAACAGAAATAAATAAAGGACGATCCAAGCAAGCATGCAAAAAAACAGAAATAAATAAAGAACGATCCATGTAAGCAAGCAAGTAAGCAAAAAACAGAAATAAATAAAGAACGATCCATTTAAGTCAAGCAAGTAAGCGAAAAAAAAACACAGAAATAAATAAAGAACGATCCATCAAAAGCAAGCAAGCAAGCAAAAACAGAAATAAATAAAGAACGATCCATGCAAGCAAGCAAGTAAAAAAAACAGAAATAAATAAAGAACGACAAGCAATAAGCAAAAAACAGAAATAAATAAAGAACGATCCATGTAAGCAAGCAAGTAAGCAAAAAACAGAAATAAATAAAGAACGATCCATGTAAGCAAGCAAGTAAGCAAAAAACAGAAATAAATAAAGGACGATCCATGTAAGCAAGCAAGTAAGCAAAAAAACAGAAATAAATAAAGGACGATCCATGTAAGCAAGCAAGTAAGCAAAAAACAGAAATAAATAAAGGACGATCCATGTAAGCAAGCAAGTAAGCAAAAAACAGAAATAAATAAAGGACGATCCATGTAAGCAAGCAAGTAAGCAAAAAACAGAAATAAATAAAGCATGATCCATGTAAGCAAGCAAGTAAGCCAAAACAGAAATAAATAAAGAACGATCCATGTAAGCAAGCAACATATCTTACTGTTGTAAAAATATGAGAAGGCTTCAAAACCTGGTTAATATTATCAGATTATTCTTACAATATTATATTATATTATATATATTAGTTATATATATTATAAATTTTATACATATTATATATATTAATATTATATTATATTATAATATTAATTAAAAAAACAGAAGAATTACTTTAACGATGTTGGCATATTTTTTCGCAACATACGTTTTCGTTAAAACCACAGATAACCACGAATAGCAAAGAAGTGAGACAATAACACCAGCACTGCATTTACAGTGTGATCATTAACAGCCACAGTAATGCATCTTTTGTGCAGCAGTCGATCTTCTGCAGCGGTGCAGATGTTCGGATTTCTTGAACTCAAAGATCGTAATTTGGATGTTTGTAAGTGCGCTTATACTAACGGTAAAATGTAATAATAGCCGTTTCCTTATAAGGAAACAATCGGCATTCATTGACCGAGCAAACAATCCTAACGCCGGTTAGAATTTATAAACTATTTCCATTTCTCAAGTTGTCTGATTGTTGGAACTCTGTCCAGCAAGAATGGGGGGGTCCTTCCTAACCTTTTATTTGAAGTAGTTGATTGGATGGTTGATTTTTCAGCGGCATATCAACACCTCTATGGGTTATTTAATGTGTGAAATGTAAATATTTTATTTTATACGCAATTTTATGCCTTTAACTATAGACCGTCCTGAGTATGACGATAAAGTACATGTGCGACTTTGGTAAGACGATAAACAAGCAAGGCTTCTAATCAGATGTTTTTGAGGAGTGTGCAACCACCGCCTAATTGCTGGTATCCCCAGTTCCACCCTGACCGGGGCTGGTCGCACCTGTTGGGGGGGGGGGTTCCAGCTATGGAAAAATAGTTAAACCCCACAAGCTGATGTCAAAACACTATGAAAGTGTAAAAATAGGTTTTAATACCAAAAATACTTTGTAAAAGTATTACCAGCAAAACATTTTGAAAATAAAATATTACCAGCAATAAAAATCTTGTCGGCATTAAATAACCCATTGAGGTTGATATGACGTAAAACAAAACAAACCAAACTAATATATCCTGAGGTAGATAGATAGATAGATATTACTAGCAATAAAACTCTTATCGGAATTAAATTACCCATTGAGGTTGATATGCCGAAAAACAGAACAAACTAAACTAATATATCCTGAGATAGATAGATAGATAGATAGATAAAAAAAATATTACTAGCAATAAAACTCTAGTCGGAATTAAATAACCCATTGAGGTGTTGATATGCCGTAAAACAAAACAAACAAAACAGCTATAGATATTCTGTACATAATTTTATATTTTCATATTAAACTTTTTTTTTAGATTTTTTAATATTTTTAAGAAGGATCTGCAATGTAATCAGTCCTGACTTGACATCTCCATTTCAGTCACTCTCTCATACACGTGATGTGGCTTCGCTCGGCCTTTTCTACAACTATTTTCTTGGCAACTCTACTGATGAGCTATCTTCCCTGATGGCCGACTTCATGAATTTAATTGTGCTACTAGATTGGCATCTAGGTCCCACCTGTTTACTGTTGAAATAGTTAAATGCAGCCATCCCTTCTACTCCAGCAGTTTCTTTTCACGCGCTTCCCGACAGTGGAACTCCCTTCCTCTTATTTGCCGCCCTGATGACTACAATCTTCGGAAATTTAAATGCAACGTCAATCGCCAGCTTCTGTTACTGTGATTCCTGTTCTTCTTTTATCCTTTCCACTATCCTTTCTATACTCAGTCTTTTCTCTCACTTTCGCTTTCTGTACATCCCCACCCGCGCGCTAATGTCACTCCCGACTTGCTTGGGATAAAATGCCGAAAAAATACTTTCGTAGATGATAAAATGTCTCGTTGGCAATTTAAAAGAAAAATGTTTTGCTGATAAGGTAAATATATATATATATATATATATATATATATATATATATATATATATATATATATTGATGGTAATATCACTACAAAAGTGCATTTCTTTTTAGTGTTGTACTGTCGTTTCGCTATAAAATAAATGTATTGCTGGCTGTTTTAATATAAAAATGTACTGTTGATGTTTGTCCCGGGAAGAGATCACTGTTTGCCCATAGCTGAACTCCTAACATCTGGGGTACCACCTCAGGTCAGGGTGGACCTGGGAACAACCATAACTACGCTTCTCAATACCGTCAACCTCATGGTCAGAGGCCTTGCCGTCGGGTGGAGTTTGTTGGCATACGCCGGACGCTTTGATGTAATGCGGAAAGACAACATTTTTAATCAAAAGGTGATCATTTATTCTTCAAGTCACATGTGCAATACATTTTAGATGTTGTTGTTGCTGTTGAAAGTTTTCAGCAGTTTCTTTTATTTTGTACAGTTCTATGTTTATGCTTATGTAGCGCCAGTCCACCAGCTACAAAGAAGGCCAGTTCTCGCTCAGTCCTAAAGGTTTCATTCGCCCAAAGCCATTTTAAACATTGCTCTGAGAAAACGTTTGTATACAGCTGACAGTTTTCATATTTCTGAAACGGTTTGATGCTATGCGTGACATCCACGTGATGTCTCAATCTGGTAATGTCATTTAAGAACATTATTCGTGAATTTAAGTTAATATCTTAGTTTTATATAATTTTACGGTGTTGGGCGAAATTGCACTTTGCGTTGCCTGTTCTATATTCAATTTCGTTATCTTCAATACAAAATGTTTTATGATCCCTACCCCGAGGTATTTGAAGGGTTTAATATTTACTAAGATGCCACGAATTTCGTTAATTCTTGTATCATATACATCTTTGTGCAAATTAATTGAAACGACAGCTTTATTTTGCTTTCTTTCATCATACGGTCAGTTTTAGATCCATTGGAGTGTAATCGAATTCTATTTTTCCTCAGATTAGGTCATTTGCAGCGGTGCGCGGTAATATGAATCTATTTTCGTATGATGAAATTTGTTTGGCCATGAAA